ATGTTCTGTAAGTTGCATTGAATTGTAAAGAAAATGTACCCTCTGTTTTCTAGAAAAGCATTTATATGTTTACAGACATTCTGATGCTATGGTATACCACATCTGGTATATGAAATTTTTCAACAGTATTGTTAATAGCAAGTTTATTAACTCAGAAGCACAATAAACAAAATGCACAATCCCATTAATCGTTGGAAAAATCATAGGAGTTCTGTGGAGGATGAATTTTAATATGCACTAATGAAATACAGTGATAATAAATTTTAAACTGTGATCATTTTATAGCAATTAAATGTTATTGCTTCAAGTCTTCTCCACTTTCAGCAAGCAAGGTTGAGTCATTGGCGTATCTCAAGTTAATGAGTCTTTCTCCAGTCCTGATGCTGCACTTAATTGATGAAGATCAAACACTATAACCTTCAGTATGAATCACACCTCAACGTAAAGAAAACAAAAATCCTCACAGTTGGACCAATAAGCAACACTGTAATAAATGGAGAAAAGATTGAAGTTGTCAAGAATTTCATTTTACTTGGATCCACAATCAATGACCATGGAAGCTTTTGTTGTTGTTGTTATTTGCCATCGAGTCAGACCCAACTCATAGAAACCCCTCTGTGGGTTTCCAAGGCAGTATCACTACGGAAGAAGATTGCCCAACCTTCCTTCCAAGCAGTGGCTGGTAGGTTTGAACCGCCAGCCTTCTGGTTAGCAGTCAAGTGCCTTATGGAAGCAGCACTCAGGAAATCAAATGATGTATGGCATTGGGCAGATCTTCTGCAAAAAATCTTTTTAAAGTAGCCTGATGGAACCTTAAGACTATGGCCCCTAGTTGCCCTTCAAGTCTCGAATTGAACCCACTCCTGTGGCTTCCAGCCAAACAAGACAGGCATGTGAGCTGAACATTTACATTAGGTAGATACACTCCTTTGAGATACCACTAATGGGAGAATAGAAGGGCTATGTAGGCACAAGGAGACGGCTTGGGGGGCAGGAGTGCATGGGAGGGAAGGACACAGGGAAGAGGTAACTATGGGGAGAAAGTGGGAGGGAAGCTGTTGCATTGTGGAAAATTGTAGTCAATGTCATGAGACAAAGTATATGGGAGCTGCTGTATGGAAAGTGAATTTGCTCTGTAAACTTTCACCCAAATCACAATAAAACTTTTTTTAAAAATCTCTTTAAAGTATTAAAAAGCAAAGATGTTACATCGAGGACTAAGGTGCACTTGACCCAAGCTGTGGTCTTTTCCATCACCTCATATGCATGTGAAAGCTGGACGATGAATAAGCAAGACTGAAGAAGAATTGATGCCTTTGAACTATGGTGCTGGCAAAGCATATTAAGTATACCATGAACTGTGAGAAGAATGAACAAATCTGTCTTAGAACAAGTCAGCCAGAATACACCTTAGAAGGGAGGATGGAAGACTTCCTCTCATATACTTTAGACATGTTACCAGGTGGGACCAGTCCCTGGAGAAGGAAATCATACTTGGCAAAGTAGAGAGTCAGTGAAAAAGAGGAAGGCCCTCCATGTGATTGATTGACACAGTGGCTACAACAATGGGCTCAAAAATAGCAATTATTGTTAGTGTGGTATAGTACTGAGCAGTGTTTCATTCTGTTGTACCTAAAGTCACTGAGTTGAAGCCAGTATGATGGCACTTAACAATAACAACAAATGTTATTGCTATGAAAACAAAAGAAATTCTATTAGTTATTTAAAATTGCAGTGATATAATAGCAGTTGACATGAATATTGAAGAGTAAATTCTTACAATAGTTATGAATACCCTGCATTCCAGCTGCACCTCCCCAGATTGTTTCAACCATGTATTACTGGCCAAGAACCACTTAGATATCCAAGGATGTTAAAAAAAAAAAAAATCAAAAACCCACATTGTGTTCATAGAACATGTTCCCAGCTATGTACTTGGATAAAGGCCTATTTCTTGGTATAGATGGAATGAGAAGCTGGAGCTGTTTCCTACTTCTGAAAGCCATTATAAAAATATATAAGCTAAAATAAAAAGTCTTAGGACTTTTTAATTGCCTTGGGGTAACCGCTGACAGAAGAACAGATTAGTTGTGGCCTCTGGGCCTGAGCTGCTCTGTGAACATACAGATTGTTCCTGGTCAGAACTCTGGTTCCTGGGCTGGGCCACAGTTAGAAGTTATTGCTAGCCCTACTTACTAGGTCATTGTCTAGTTTGGTGGGGTTGTGGTGAGAGAACTGAGAAACTGAGACCTTTCTTACCAGCAGCAACTATGGAAGAAACTAAGAACTGCCCAAAAGGAATGAGGTAAACACTTCTGCTAGGACTTGACAGATTCAAGTGGGAACAGGGATCAAACTAATAATGGGACAACTTATCCCTCAGCTAATGAATCTTGTTGTTGTTGTTGTTGTTGTATGCTGTCGAGTCAGACCCGACTCATAGCAACCCCTCCTTGGGTTTCTGAGGTAGTATCACTATGGAAGTAGATTGCCCAAACCTTCCTTCCGAGAAGCAGCTGGTGGGTTTGAACTGCCAGCCTTCTGGTTAGCAGTCAAGTGCCTTAGGCACTATGCTACCAGAGCTTCCAATGACTCTTACTGTCTTATATTACACTTGGTGTGTGTGTGTGTGTGTGTGTGTGTGTGTTAAATCTGTCCTATCTTGCAGAATAAGTTACAAGCTCTTGGATCCAGGGCCCTTGGTCACCTACATTATATTCCACCCAATGTCCTCATCATACTAGGTGTTCAGTAACTAGTCTTTGATGGATTAATTACAGGGGAGGGTGGGAGTCATATTCTTTGAATTTAATTTCTCCTGTTACACGAATTCTGCCTGCTATATGTATCCATGAGACAAAAGACTGGCAGCAGGATTGGAGATTTTGTTTGAGTTCACAATGTGTTGAGCCTTATTGAGTCTGCCTGTTGCTGTATTCCGTTTTGCCTCATGAATGTGGCCAGTATCTAAGAACATATACATCAGCGGTTAAGAAGGTTTCCAGTGCTATAGCCATAATTGTAAAGAAGCTTGGCACAACCTAGAGGAATAGACAAGGTCCTGCTACCCCAGAGGCAGTACAGTGAAGTGGCAAGAGCCCTAGGCTAGGAGCCAGAGGGTTGGATTTAGAACCTCATCACTGTCATTCATAGACTGGGTATCTGTACATTTGACTTGTTAGAAGGAGGTCCTACCTAGAAAGCAGTTGTTCTGCAGGGCAAAGAGGCATGTTTATGCTCCAAGGAATTTGAGAACAGGCAAGCCTCAGCTTAGCCCAAGTTTCCACATCTGTGAAATGGGAACTATAGTAGTGCCTATTTCATGGACTTGTTGGGTGTGTTAAATGTCATTCATTCATTTATTCATTCAGCAAGTATTTATTGAATACCTGCCAGTTATAGGCACTGGAGATAATATCAGTAAATAAAACAGACAAAACACTAAGCCCTTATGGGGCTTATAAGGAGACTGGATGGCTCAGTGGTTAAGCAGTTGGCTTCTAACCAGAAGATCGGCAGTTTGAACCCACTAGCCATTCCTTGGGAGAAAGATGTGGCAGTCTACTGCTGTAAAGATTTATAGCCTTGGAAACCCTGTGGGTAGTTCTGTTCTGCCCTGTAGGGTCACTGTGAGTTGGTATCGACTTGACAGCAATCAGTTTGGTTTGCTATGGCTCTTATATTTGAAAACTATAATATACATAATGTATTTTAATAAATATTTAATTGAATTAGTCTGAAGATATCTGATGAACTCATTTGATGAGCTTTTACTGTGTAATTTCCATAGGTACTTATGTCACAAGCATAAGTAGTTATGGCCGTAATTGGGTCTCATGTCTGAATTGGCATAACCCTGGGGCTGTCCCATTGAGTAGGACATGTATGTGTTCTTACTAAGTCCCACTATGTTTAGAAAGTCAGTTGCCCTTGGAGTACATTGCTGTCATTATCACCTCTGTAAACAGTGTTGTCCAAACAATCCAGCTACCAGTTAAGGCTCAGGGACTGTAGGCTGTGTTCCAGATGAATGGTTTCCACATTTTGTCAGCCATTAGTATTTGTGACTCAGTGTGATTTTACAGACTTGCTAAGGTGTTTGCTCATTTGTGTAATTTGTGAAAATAAGTCAGAGGGCTAGCATGACCAGTTAAGATCCACAAACCATATTTTAGTGAGTCATTTCAGTCTTTCCAAATTTTTGATCAGCCTCCATCTAAGAACAAAGTGGACAGATTTAAGGTTTCAGTTCCTCAGTTCTTTTTTCCTTCTCTGGGGTCGGGGGAGGAATTTTTCCTCAAGCATTAGGAAATGATCCCCCCCCCATGGGAGGAAAAGAGCAGGCCTGGAAAGCAGACCCCGGGGGACAGCACCCTCCTGTCAGTGCATCCTGTCTCCTGAGAGACCTGTACCCATGTCTGCGTCCAATCGCAATCATCTTCCTAATGCAATACTTTGAGTCTCCAATGGCACCAAGCCCGTTGAGTTAAAAATGTAAACAGGAAATTGTTTTCTGGCCGAATGGCCTGTGTGGCCCAGGGAAAAAAAAAAAAAGTGGTCATTATTTTTGCTGAGCCACAACTTTAAGAACACTCATACAACAGTGGAAGTAGAAAGCTGGTTATATAAGCTAGCCCTGCCTGAGAATGCAGGCTAGCAATATGATAGTGTAGGAACGAGTGCATGTGATTTTCAGGGCATTTTTAGCTGATGTTCCAATGCACATTTGACAGGACAGAAGGAGCTCCTACCTAGAAAGCAGTTGTTCTGCAGGGCAAAGAGGCATGTTTATGCTCCGAGGAATTTGAGAACAGGCATTACTTGGAAGACATGAAGGTTTAGTCTGGAGAAATGTGACTTGGCACTGACCACATGTCCCTGGGTCTCAGTGCTCGTCTGGTTGGCTCCAGCTCCCCATCATTTGGCCTTCATGAACCTCCTGTGCTCCCATCGTGGTTTCCCTCTGTGCTGATGAGTTTTCTGGTTGTTATGTCTTACAGCCCCCCGAATCCAAGCCCAACATCACCCCTCTCGCCATCTTGGCCCATGTTCTCGGCGCCATCCAGCCCTATGCCCACCTCATCCACGTCCAGCGACTCATCCCCCGTCAGGTCTGTTGCAGGGTTTGTTTGGTTTTCTGTTGCTGCCGTTGTTCTCTCATTTGCTTGGTCCTCTCTTCATGCAGTGTTCAGCCTCCTCGTCAACTTTGTTCCCTGCCATCCAAACATGAACTTGCTTTTTGACAGGCCAGAAGAAGAGGTTCATGAAGACAACAGGTAAAATCATGGATGACAACCAATCTATTCCCGTTTTTCCAAAGCCCATCAGGGACAACCGGGGACCTGCCTCTGCTTGCCCGTGGTTTTGTCCTCTCCAACCAAAGCCAGGAAGGAACCATATGCATGAAGTAGCATGGTATTTTCCATGCCTTTCTTCACCCTTACTCAAGTTTCTGGATTAATCTGAGATGCCTGGAGTTTGGAAAAAGAGCCCCTGCTCTTCAATATGGGTCCTGCTTTGGGTACTGTATGAGTCATTTGGCTCTCTCCATGCTTTGGTATAAGATAATATAAGAGAGAACTGTTGACAAACATGTCTGGCCTTTTCTTCCCTCATTTTTATCAGGCAACATTTATTTGTGGTGTTGGGCCATTGGCCATGAGCACTGACATATAGTTGCTTAGACCAGATCCACTGAGAGAGAGATGAATATAGCACAGAGAATAAGTGATTAAGATATGAAATTGTTTCTTTTTAAATTGTTCATGGCTTATGGTCCCTTGCCCTCTGTATACTCCCAGGGACCATCACTATTCCCAGCCTGCCTCTTTCTCTGAGTGTCAGAGCCCTTAGCTCTCATCGGAATAGGTAACACTTATTCCTGAGGTGAGCAGCTTGACCTAGTTCTTCTCCCCAAGGACCATGCCATAGTTTTTTCTGCTTTTGTAATTTCTTGACCTAAGTGCCAAAATTCTTTGCACTTGAGCCTTTGGGAGAAAGGAGACTGTTTAAATCTAGGAAAAGAATTAATAAAGATCCTACAGAATTCCCCTGCTGTGTGGGGCCCAAGCATACGTGTCTCTTGAACTTACTCTCTGCTCTCGGACAATAGAACATAGAGCCCACTTATAAGCATCATCAGCATTTTGGGCCCTGGAAGTGTTCTCTTCCCTTTTCTTTTTTTTTTTTTTTCCATAGCTGACTTTTTTTCCCTAGGGGTGGGTCCAGCAGAAAGGCTTAAATAATTTATAAAGCTGAGTCTCAGTTTTTAAAAAAGAAAACCCCATGCTATTTTTACAGATGGATGCATATGTTACTTTATTCACCTCAAGGCACTTTGACATCTATCATTTAATGCTACTCTCGTGTGGAAATGAGAGGAGGTTTTCCACGGCGGTATCACTACGGAAGTATATTGCCCAACCTTCCTCTGGAGACCTTTAGGAAGCTGCCATTTTGAGTGGGGCTTGGAATCAGCTGGAGAACACAGACAGGGACACTACTAGACAGTTAGCCCATCGGAGGAACAGAGAGATCTAGAATCTCCTAACTGCTACTGCGGTATGCAGCCAAGAGTTGGGGGCATACATATTCAGTTCCACTGGGTTCTTCCTCCAAAGTAACACGAAACTTCAGATTTCCTTCTCCAGCAGAGCTTTTAAAAATAAACACATTAATCAGACCTAATTCATTGCCCTATGAATTTCTACATAGTGTCGGCTCTGGAAATGGCTTCCCCTCCCCTCTCAGAACCATTTTTAATGCTTGTTAGTTCAAGTTCAGGAACTAAGCTGTCTTTTACAGCTTAGCAGGAAAGGGAACTAGGGTTGCATTGCCTTCACATTTCCCTTTCCTGTCTCCTGCTCCTCCAGAAAAGTTCTAAACCCTAGACCCTATGCCTTGCATTTGCACAGGGGCCACAGAAAATTTGCCTAAATGATCAAGCTGTTGCCACTTAGCAATGTAGCTGGCCCGACCCCCCTGTTGTGCTGCACAATGGCAAAGTGGAGCGTCATTTTGCAAGGCTTGCAAGGGCATTTGAGGGAAACTCCTCTGAGTGCTTTCCTGGCCTCATGCCATGCTCAGAGGCAAAAATTAAAAATGAACCAGCAGAAGGATCCAAACTCGTTCATGCCCTTGAAGGCCCAGCTGAGATCTGAAGGGCGCTGTGGCAGGAACAGCCTAAACCACCTCAAACTCTGTGCCCCATGTTGAGGTACACTGGGGAGAATAAGGGAACTGAGGGGCCAGAGAACCAAAGATGCTTGGTGGGGATTTTTTTTTTTTTTCCCTTCAGTAGTCATAGCCAACACCTACAAATACAGCTTTTTCTGCCAACAGGATCCGTCTGTTTTAATAGGGACCCTACCTAACACATACTGCTCAAGGCTGTGGAGAGGGGTTATGGCACAGGGACACATGACTTGTTGGGCTGACAGACTTTCAAAAAGAGAAAACTTTCCCCTGTGCATGGCTGCAAGATTTAGCAAATAAAGATACAGATGCCCAGTTAAATTTGGAATGAATGTGAACAACACATATTTTTAGTGTAAGTATGTCCCATGCAATGTTTGGACATACGTATACTCCCAATCTGAAATTCAAATTTTATTAGATGTTCTGTGTTTTATCTGACAGCCTACTGTTGGGGAGTAGGAGTGGGCTCTTTTAAAAGCACCCCTTCTGTGTCATCCCTCTCATTTTGGGTAGGAGGAGGTCTCAGGAGAAAAAGCCCTCATGGTGGTCAGTCACCTACTGAACTGAGAGAAAAGCAAGATCCTTTCCTGGCCTTTCTTTAATGCAATATTTTATTGTTACTTCGTGCTCTGATACCAAAAAACAATACTAGTGGAAAGTTACTCCTTCTAAAAGATAGTCTTGGGCACCTGAGACCATTCCCTTTGCTTTCTCCTTGCCAGATACCCCAGCTTTTTCCCTGGCTTGCCACTGATTTGTCCCATTACCTTTATTTAATGAGGTTAATAAATAACCTCTATGAAAATTCAACCCAAGGAACATTGGCTCAGATGCTGTTTCCCTCACCTATCAGTTCCCCTTCCCTGATTTCTTTGCTCTTTTCTCACCTGCCCTGCCTTGTCCTCAAGGGATAGTAACCTTGCCTTGAAACCTGGTCTCTAAGACCCTACGTAGGGTGGACTGGATTCTCCTTCTACCTTCAATGTTGTAACAGACCTACGCACCTATCCAGTATGGTTTTTCTGTTGTTCTAACACTTCTCACAATCAGGTTTCTCTTCTCTGCTCCCTGCCCTTCAAAAGAGAGAGAGAGACTTTTAAGTTTATTCCTCCCTGGAAAATTGCTGATTGGCTCTGTGGTCCTTGCTGGCCACCACATGGGCATGGACTCATTAGATCACAGGATGCACCCCTTGTCCTGAGCTTTATTCTGACTTTAATGATCTTTAGACAGGAAGAGCTGTTTTCCAGTTGGAACTGATAAAGTCTCAAGGCTTTTCTTTCCTGTCCATCGTTCCTAATGGCCCCACTTCATTCTGTCCACCTGGCTGTCACCTCTTAGCTACTAGAAAACCAGGGTGAACAACAGTTAACTGCCCTGGCAGCAAATTCTGGATAATCATTTCTTCTGATCATTCTGTTCAGCAAACCTTTTAAGTCAGTTTTTTCCCATCAGTTTTCATGGAGCTGAGACTGGAAGTTTTAGATACCTGGCCCTAGTATAGGTTTCTGTCCATCCGTGGATCTTTTCTAAAGGGAAGCTGGGCACAGTGACACTAAGAAATAACAGTTCCATAGTGCCCAATGTGCCTGCCCCAACTACTCTGTCTGGATTTTCCTGAGACCAGACCAGACCAGGCCTCAGTCTCATCTCCTTTTGGGCACTAGAAATCAGTGCTCTGTGGGAGGTTTTATATGCCTAGTTCTTTGAGCCTCTCCATTAGTCAAAAGAAGATAAAGTAAATAATATATATCCCTGAATAACTGTCTATCCTAAAAGACTTACTTGTGCTTTTTTTATTCTTCCCTTGAAGCCCTACGTGTACTTTCCTAGATGGCTTAGGGCAAGAGGAAGATCAATTTTGGTAAATAAAAGACCAGCTTTTGAGGGTTATATGTCATTTTTCTTATGAATCTTGAAGCATAGATTGTTAACTAATTGGATACATACCAAAGCAAAAATTGACAGAAGGTAACATGCTTTACCAACTCTTCCAAATTACTCTCTAAAACATGGGTTTGCACACTGTGGCCTGTAGTTCAAATCCAGCCTGCTGTCTGTTTTTTTCAAATAAAGTTTTATTGGAACACAGCCACACTAATTTGTTTACATGTTATCTGTGGCTATTTTTGTGCTACAGTGCAGAGTTGAGTAGTCATGACAGAGACTGTGTGTCTACAAAGCCTAAGATATTTACTGTCTGACCCTTTACAGAAAAGGTTTGTTAACCCCCACTCCAAAACAGTGGTTCTCAACCCTGGTTGCATATTAGAATCACTCGGGAGCTTTTTAAAAATACTGATGCATGCCTATATTTATATCTGCAAGTCAGGACAGAACTCAGATATCTGCATTTTTTAAAAAGCTCCCAGATGATTCTAATGCATAATGAGAGTGGTTGTCAACACTCACTGGTTATGAGAGGGCAAGGAAAAAGAAAAAAAAAACAAAACTGCATCCTATCTCCTCTCTCATCTTCCTCTGACACACACACACACCTTTCTTTCTCTATTACCTGCCCAACTCAGGGGTTGGAGAGTTGTAGCTCTAGAATCCTGCCTCATCAGTAAGATCCAGCCAAAGGATAGATTCAGCTGAGGCTAATTTTACACAGATACCAGGGATACAAAATACCCTCGATCCTTACAGAAACAACAGAAGACAGACATAGAGCCGTCCCTCACAGACAGACAGCATTGTGGGAGAGAGATCCAAGAGATCTACCGACTCAGGACCATAGTACTGGGGGACACCAGACTCAATTGGCACAATAAAATATATAAAAATCTTGTTCTACAACCTATGTTGGTGAGTAGCAACTGGGCTCTTAAAATCTTTCAAGAGGTCATATAAGATGCAGCTGATGGTCTCCTATCATCAAAAACAAAGAAGAGCGCAAAACACCAAGGGTATTTGGAAGTAACCAGCCCTAGGACATGATGGACCTCAAGACCAGAAGAACTAGATGGTGCCCGGCTACTAATGCCAACCACTCAGGGAAGAATCAAAACTGGAGATCCTGGATAGAGTGGAAGGAAAAACATGTAGCATAATCCAAAAATACAATAATGACCAGAATTACTGGTTGGATGGGCTCGGTGCAGCCCCCAATACTATGGCCTGGAATAAGACTTACTCCCAGGGGCTGGCTCTCAGCTCAATAGTAAATAAGACGTATACACAGACCACTCAACCCAGGGTGATGCACCCACATACCCTGTGGAGATGCATCCCTTGGAGAATCAACCACAGGGCACCAGAGGGGCAACACTTGCACAGAGGAAATGGAGGACACACAGGAGTGCGTAACTATGAGGGGCATGGGGGTAGGTTTACTGGGCAGGGAGGGAAGTAGGGTTGGAGATGGTAACTGGGGAATGAAACCAAATGTACATGAAATAATGAATGTGAAACAAACTCTGCTCTATAAACTTGCACCTAAATCACATACACACAAAAAAAGAGCCAGCCCAATGAGAAAAAAGTAACATCTGGGAATACTAATGTCAGCCTGAGCTGAAGCCTGGCTTTGCTGGAGTATCACCTTTTTAATTCACTAAGCATTGCCAGCTTTAAATAGAGCCTTTTGCGAGGGTAATCTAGAGCAACTTGAAAGTTCTTTCAGGCCCCTGTCCCACTTCCCTCTTCCCAAAGTACCCCAGCTCCAAAAATGGGGCCCAGCCTGCTCCCCACTTCAGCTTTTGTAGCACCCTTGGTAACCTTTTAACATGGCACAGAGTAACCCTCCAGGAAGTGAGCTCACTCAGAGCTTATGGCCTTTCTCTGAGTATTTCTCATTTTTCTCCTGTGACCTTTGCAACTTTTCCACCTCATGTTTTGCCATCTGGCTGCTCTGTCAGGTTCTTCCCATGAGAGAGGACTAGGTAGCTTTCAGGGAAAGGGAAAAAGAGAGAGTAAATGTCTGGAGCTTTTAGAGGGTTTAGAAAAGATGTCAATAAACTCCTGTTTTCACACAGCACACCTTTCCGGAAGGCAAAAGCCTTGTACGCCTGCAAGGCTGAGCACGACTCCGAGCTTTCATTCACAGCAGGCACGGTCTTCGATAATGGTGAGTTTCTCATGCTCTCATAGAAATGGGGGTGAGGGGCAAGAGGTGAAAAGGAATAAATAACTGACATTTCCCAAGTTCCTACCGAGAAGAAAACTTAAAAGAACAGGTAAGACCAAAAAGGAATGTTTGTGTGGTATTTGTTTATGTGTCTTCTCCCAAAGTGAGAGAACAGTAGCAAGACTTCAGGAGGCATTTTCAGGAGTGGACAGGAATAGTTCAGCCTCTTCACTCAGAGAGACAGTCTCATGGAGTAGTTGTGAACAATAAATGGAAGAATGCCTACAAGGGACTCAGCCCAGCATCTGGCTGTGACTCTGAGAGTCTGGGGGCTGGACAGAGCGTAGGAAGCAAAGAAATGAAAGCAGGGATGCTAAAAGTAAACAGAAGCCCAAGGTGGAGACTGAGGCCATGTGTTCTGGGTCTTTTTCCTCTTGGGTTCAGTGAGAGGTGTTTCTAAGGTATGGCACGTGCCCTGGGCACCACTGAGCAGCTTCTGTTAACCCAGTACAACCCGGCGTCCTTCCTCAAGCACAGTTCTTGTCTCCAGGTACCAGCCCAAGGGGGCGGAGAAGGAAACTCAGAGGTGTGACAAGTATGAAAGGTGCCTAACTGAGGCAGCCAGACAAGAGAGGGGAAGACCTTTCACTGCTGTGTCACTGCTATGAACTTCTGTTCACCTTGAAATTGGGGAGGCAGCGCAACTTAGAGCTTGCCCTGGACACTCAATACCCTCAGCACACCCCTGGCTCATTGGCAGGCACTCTCTCCACAACAGGGCAGGCAGATTTTCAAGATGGCAAGGCATTGGTGAACTGGGATGGTTCAGTGGTAGAATTCTTGCCTGGCATGCAGGAGACCCAGGCTTGATTTCCAGCCAGTGCACTTGATGGGCAGACACAACTCATCTCAGTAGAGGCTGGTATGTTGCCATAATGCTGAACAGGTTTTCAGTGGAACTTCCAGATAAGACAGACTAGGAAGAAAGACCAGGCAACATACTTCCAGAAGTCAGCCAATGAAAACCCTGTAGATCCTCGGCCAGTCACAGATGATGCAGGAGTAGGCAGCAGTTCGTTCCAATAACCATAGATGCGGTCACAACTGGATAGCAACTAACAACAATAATAGCAACAGGGACAGTGAGCCACACTTGTGTCCCTGCTATTACTCTCTTTAACTTTTGGGAGTGTGAAATAGACTATGTCATAGTCAAACCCCCCACAGACCACCAGCTGTTCTGCCCAAGTATCCTGGTATGAAAAAGCATTCATGCCCTTTCGTCTTAGGACTGGAAACTAGTACGTGATGTACGATTTTCTTTCTTTTTCTCTTTTTTTTTTTTGCCTGAAAACAAACATTTCTTAAGTGAGAATTGATGCCATATTTTGTCATAACTTCTCATTTACCTAAGAGAAAAATCAAGATTCTGGAGAAAAAGCTCTAGTTTCTGTTATAACTGAGTTTTCTACAGATAAAGCTCTCATTTGAGGCTTATCTGCCTGGATCCTTGGGCAGAAGGGTCTGTTTTATTTTGTGCGGCCCCCCCACCCCGCCCCACACAAAAGAGGAAGCAAAAGCAGCTGCCGGGTTTCAAAAATCGGACATTTCCTCTGGCCACCTCCCCAGCCCCAGGTGGAGGCAGAGTTCTCCCGGGGAGGTGTGAGTGCGTTGCCTAAGCATTCCCCATCCCGGCTGGGCAGCCTCACTGTGGCCTGGACCACACCTACTGAGGTCCTGCTACCTGACTGAGACCCAGAAATAGAAAGCAGCTAAAGCCTCTGCACAGCATGGGTGACCCTGAGCTCTAAATCAGGCAGCTTCAACCCAACTCCTGGCTTGACGACTTGCTCGTATGTGACTTTGAGCATTGAGTTAATATCTCTGTGCCTCAGGTCACTTTCCTGTTATATCAAGATAATAACTACTATACCTACCTTACAGGTGTTGTGAGGAAAAGTTGAGATGAGGCACATCACATGTTCAGAAAGACACTTAATTCATGTTAAGCATTCAGTGTGTTATTGTTATTACTGTTATCATCATTATTAAGTACATGTTACATGCTCTCGTAGTTCACAATGATATTTTTTGTTTTCAGCTGTTATGATTTAGGCCTGGCTCTGAGCTGAGCACCAGGGCTTTACGAGGTGCTGAACCTTGACTCTCAGGCCCTATCTGCAGAGGCCTCACATTCCAAGCCACAGGAGATATGGACTCCTGGGGTCCAGCCCTTGAATGTATCCACATCAAAAGGGGCTGCCACCCTATCGGCCCAGCCGTGCAGTCTACGTGGTGGGCTGTCTATCAGGCAGGAGTGTCAAGAATGAGCAGCAAGCACAGAGCATCTGGGGGAATTCCCAAGTGTCACACTAAACCCTGGGCCTTCTGGGCCAGCTACATATGGCCTCCAGCCTTGTATTTCCTTTTATGGTTCTCAAAGGCCAAAGTACTTAAAAATACTTTTTAAAAAGTCCTGAAAACTTTGTTCCAATAACTTTCATTTGTGCCCTTTGCAAATGAAAGCACATACAGCCTGGCCAGGTATCTCTCCTGTCAGCACATAGGGAGAACATGGGTCCACTGAAGGCTGTCGAAAGCTACACAATGGGCTAGTGTCCCCACATAGGCCCAAGTAGAGGATTACAGCCTAGCTGTAATATGGCCCATCTTTTCATGGCAGACAAGCCAACGTGAGTGACATTGTAGGGCTTCTGTGTCCTGCTTTGCCAGCAGATGGTGGGCTTCTAGCTAAGGACAAGCAAACTTTGAGAGGTCCCCATGTTTATAGGCAAATCCAGAGTTTAAATTCTGTTCTTCCAAGTCCCAATTCACTGCTCCCATAGCACAGTTCTGCCATGTTCCCGTCTGATATTCACTGTGATAACACAGAGGACCCCGACCCAGGGGCATAGCTGGTTTAAGCTGTCAAAAGGTAGGTGTGTGTATGTGTCCTCTGGGACTCCTTTTCTGCAGTATGATTTTCCTTCATTTTTCAAACAACTTTATTGAGATATCATTCACATGCCATATAATTAACCCATTTGAAGTATACAATTCAGTGGTTTTTACACAGATCCAGAGTTGTGCAGCCATCACCGTGATCAATTTTAGAACATTTTTATCACCCTCAAGAGAAACCACATACCCTTTTGCAGTTACCCTGCATTTCTCCCTAAACCTCTTCCTTATAGCCCTAGGCAACCACTAATCTTTCCATCTTTATAGATTTACCTATTCTAGACAATTTATATAAATGAAATCATACAATACATGGTCTTTGTGATGGACTTCTTTCACTTAGCATAATGTTTTCACGGTTCATCCATGTTGTGACATGTATTAGTGCTTTGTTCTTTTTTATTGCTAATACTATTCTATTATACAGGAGCTCTGGTGGCATAGTGCCTAAGGCATTTGACTGCTAACCAGAGGGCTGGCAGTTAAAACCCACCAGCTACTCCAAAGGAAGACTGGGCAGTCTACTTCCGTAGAGATAATGTCTCAGAAACCCAAGGAGGGGTTGCTATGAGTCAGATCCGACTCGACACCAGTGAGTTTTGTTTTGTTTTGTTTTATTCCATTATACAGTATACTACATTTTGTTTATCCCTTCCCTAGTTGATGGACGGGAGCTCTGGTGGTGCAGTGCCTAAGGCATTTGACTGCTAACCAGAAGGCTGGTTCAAACCCACCAGCTACTTCTCGGAAGGAAGATGGGGCAATCTACTTCCATTGTGATACCACCTCGGAAACCCAAAGAGGGGTCACTATGAGTCAGATCCAACTCGAGGGCAGTGAGGGTTTTTTTTTGTTGTTGTTTTAAAGTAGTTTAAGTAGTTGGAATGAAGGAGGGAAGGAGAGAGGAAGGAAGGAAAGAAAGAAGAGAGGATTTAAAAACAAAAATACCTAGATTTTTTTTTTAGGAGCTCTGGTAGCTTAGTGCCTAAGGCACTTGACTGCTAACCAGAAGGCTGGTGGTTCAAACCCACCAGTCACTCCTTGGAAGGAAGATGGGGCAATATACTTCCGTAGTGATACTGCCTCGGAAACCCAAGAAGAGGTCGCTATGAGTCGGGTTGACTCCAGGGCACATAATAACAACAACAACAAAGAAGACTTTTAACTCTCAAGTCCTTTCCTTCCCAGCAGGGTGCTATGCCTAGCGGGTTCTATGACTAACCCCACCCTGCACTTTGGTAATCATCATAAATCCTGCAATAAGTGAGAATAAGAGAAATTTGGTTTAACACATCAGAGGTTTTACCTAAGCCTTCCTGTGGTCTTCTGGGAGTCAGTGGCAGGGTTCAACAACACTAGTTAGTTTTTAACCAGCAATGCCAGTGACCTTTCTCATTCCCTTAAGAGCAAAAGGCCAAATTAACCTCTCACCCCACCCCCATCCCCCAAAAAAACACACTCAATTTGGGCTCAGCAGCAGTTGAAGATGGATTGGATGAAATGTTAATCCACTTTCTAGATTAGTTTGGCTGATAATATTTTATTATGGACTATTTTTAGAACAAAATGCTCCATATACCCTTCTCTCCAACTCTGTGAGAGAAATTAAGCATCAGAGAGAGAAAAAAATATATCAGCATGTTCGACAGAATCTTTTTCCTTTCTCTGTCTCTTGTTTACTACTAGAGATGTTAGGTAAGGGCTACTTCAGTTGGGTGCTCTGTAGCTATTGCATTAAATCAGCAGACCAGTCAAAATAGTTTCCTGATGACAGGTTTAGTGAGTGAATGTGTGTGTGTATGTGTCTGCTTTTTCAGGATAAGAATGAATAAGGAGGAGGAAGAGGGAAGGGCACACTGAGGGGAAAGTCTATTATTTTTAATGATTAATCTCTAACTCAGCCTTTGGATTCCAAGGGGCCTGTGTGTGAGTGGGCGGCTGCTCAGTTACTTTGTGGACTTTGTGCAGTGGGGATTGGATGTGCAATACAGTACTCGGAAATAACTCCAGTGTCAGCCCTTGCCAATCTACTAGGAAAC